ACCTATCAATAGCAGTTGAAAGCATAGAAAGAAGAATAGACGGGTTTTGAATGTTGAAGCTTCTCCCTCAATAGTTTCCATGACAACCAATTGTTGAAAATAATTTCTTATAAAAATTTCTTTTTGTCTCATCCCTATATTCCTAGTTCACAAACTAAAACGAGTATGTCTCTTGTCAAGATAAAATATGTATATCTTAAACCTCCTTTCACCGAAAAAATTTATGGCTCTGCAAGTGTGATTAAGACATTTTGGACAGCAAATACAGGTGTATCTAGTAGATACTATCCTCAAATCTCACCAAAAAGTAAATAAAAGAAATCAATCTCTCAATTCTAGCTTCTATATTTTCACGCGCACAACTCAATCACGAATCCTTTACGGTTACACATAACTATCAGCATTTACATTATTCGTTTATCCCTATTTGGCTATACATATCTAAAAACAGTCAAATAGCTAATTTAACTTATGAAAAAATCATAGCAGATTTAATAATTTAAGAATTGCATAAACGCCTATTAGAAAGTTTTAAAAAAACGAAAGTTAGAATTGTTGTAGGAACTTACAATCAAAACTACAATTTAGTGTTGAAAAAATAATAATAATAATAATAATAATAATAAATAAATAAACTACATTTTGTATTTAAGTTAACAGATATCACATTCAAGCAGCAAAACACCGAAAAATTCACCAAGAATTGCATTATCACAATCACATTGTCAACTGAACGGAACAAATTATCCAAACCCGCACAATACCTAAATTATCCATAGGCCTTGTACGCATAACTGCATATTGTTTTCATATTTGGGTTAACTTCTTATCAAACAAATTCGCCAACCAAAACGGCGAATTAAAAAAATTGAAATTATAAAACCACCTTCAAGGAAAAGAAGTCATCGAAAAGATTAGAAATGAGTTCATGCTAGAGATTTACAAGCTATGAAAAAGTACCAAAAGAATTCAATACCAGACTTCACTTCTTACATTGAATCTTGCAAAAAACGTAAGAAAATTCTCCCAAAGAAATAGGAGAAACGAGGGAAGCAAACAAGGGGTTTAAGAACGTGGAAGATGCAAAATAACCCGTTAAAGATGAACTTTGAGAAAATTACCTCTGAAAATTAATCTGATTTTTGTTTTCTTGATGATAATCTTGCCACCCCAAACTTGCCCTAATTTTAGTTTTCTCGTCCGTGAAGATCGAAGATTGTGATTTTTCCCCCAATTTCTTTTGACTAGCCGATCGAATTTTATCACGTCCTTTTCAGAGTTAAATTTTGGGATAATTGCAGCAGAAGCCTCGAACATTTGTAGAGTCCCCAAACGTTTCAATTGTTGCAGCCATCGCCCTTAATCTTTCCAACCGTTGCATCCAGCCCAAATGGATGATTTCCTTCCAAAATACCGTCAGTTGACCACAAAATTGAATTTGATCACATTTTTTATATTTTGAAAGAGGAGCAAAATAATAATTTAATATTTACCACATTAAATAATTTAAAAAATAAAAAGATGTATCTCATGCTTCCCCACTCCAAAACCAAAATCATTTGGCCATCTGCAATCGGCGCCACTACGAAACATTGGCTTCTCTAGCCTTCCCCTAAAACCCAAAAATACAAAGAGAACATCAATGTACAAAAATTCAGAAAAGCAATCAAATTATTGAAAAAACAAAATCAAGCAAAAATAAGCAATTAATTAGTTGAATTGTCTTGATGGAAGGCTTATTGATCTTTAGGGATGGCAACGGGGCCGGGAGGGGGACCCTGCCCCGTTACCTGTTTAAGGTGGGGCGGGGGCCTTGCCCCGTTTACTACCTGTGTAATTTTTTTTATATATAATTTATTTTTATTGCTCATATTCATTATATTTAAACAAATAATT